CGGCTGTCTATTCAAATACGTACACACATATATGATACACACACATATATATGATGGATGAATCCTACCAGATAGCCAAAGAAGTCAAAAGAGAGAGAGCCTCCCTTCTTTGTTACCCTATCTATAAAAATATCAGCGGCTTTTTTCTCACCTAATGAAAGATTCTATACTATTTGCATATGAAAGCAATAAAACAGTTGTTGGATGATCATCATATAGGGCCATGGCACTATATCTATATGCAGAGGACAGAAATGGAACCCAAGATGTTAGCCTTGCAACTCACCCCTAAACCTGCTCCTTCAAATAATACATTCCTTTGGCTTTACTCCTACTCAAAAACCCAAAAGATGTTTCCCCAAAGTAAAACACATCTCTCACCAAGTCCTCATCATTCTGTTTGCCCACACACCCTTTCATATAATTCTCCCTTCAAAACCTTTCTCTAGCACTCCACCCTCTCCACAGCCATGAGCTTCCCTCCATCTACTGCATCTGGCGCAATGAAAGCGTTTCGCGGAAAGCTACATTTTCCTATTATCATGGTCTGCGCTATCGCCTTCATCAGTCTCCTCTACACCGAACGGATTAGCATCATTCTTTCCTCCAACCCTTTTTTCAAAGTTAAATCATGTTCCAAAACCAATGCCACTTCGAAAAATAGTAAGTCTAATTAACTTTTGATTTTTTACCCTGTTAATTTTTTTTTTCCAACTAAAATTTTCCTAATTGATGTTTTGTGGTCACTAATCACTGTCTTACAGAAAATAGAAATGCTACACTGGATAAGTTGAGGGATACCATATTAGATGATAGGTTTGAGTTCGACCCTGAGGAGTGCAGTATTGAGAACGGAAAGTGGGTGTTCAACCGTTCGATCAAGCCTCTTTACTCTGATAGAAGTTGCCCGTATCTTGATAGGCAAGTTTCATGTGTCAAGAATGGACGTCCGGATTCTGGCTATCGCTACTGGCAATGGCAGATCCAAGATTGCACATTGCCAAGGTTGGTAACTTACAATGCATGTCAAAACACATCTATGCAGTTTATTATGCAAGCCAGAATGTTGATATATTTATTGGGCGCTGTTATCTGCACTCCGAAAAAATCATCTTACATCTTCCCGAGTTACAAAAACAAAGGAAGGATGAGTGCAAGATGACTAAAGTTTATACAGAGGCATACGCAATCTTCATGGATGAATTTATACTTACTGCATGAAGTTCTGTTTTTCTAAACAGCTAATTTCTTACAACTTTATATGTAGATTTAATCCAGAAGTTGTTCTTAAGAAACTTAGCGGAAAGAGGCTACTTTTTGTTGGGGATTCTTTGCAAAGAGGTCAATGGCAATCTCTAGTCTGTATGGTTGAATCCATCATACCAGAGGACCAAAAGTCCATGCGACGCGGGCACTCTCACACAGTCTTCAGAGCCAAGGTACGTATAGTTCTTGGTTTTCGCTCATTTAAAACAACGATTAAAGGAAACAATTGAAGGCTTGAAGCTAATCAAAATCTTTCCATCTTCAGGAGTATAATGCAAGTATTGAATTCTACTGGGCTCCATTTCTCGTTGATTCCAATTCTGATGAACATATAATCGGAAATCCAAAGGAAAGAATACTAAAAGTGGATTCAGTTGCCAAGCATGCCAAATACTGGACAGGAGTTGACATCCTTGTGTTCAACACTTACGTTTGGTGGATGAGCGGCTACACGATCAAATCATAGTAAGTTTAGGGGAATATGAACTTATGACAAAAGTAGAACCGCGGAGACATTAAAACGGAGGGGCACCAAACAAACATTGCTTTATATTTCCCGATTCTATTTTGGTTAAAAGTTCATAACCGGTTATATTTGTGCATATTTTCTAAGAAATTTAACTTTGCCAATGGAGTATCGGCATTTTCTATTTGGTTTAAGATTGATCAATCTGAGCAACAATGTGTAACTGAACACAGCTGGGGCTCATTTCCAAACGGAGAAGAAGGGTACGAAGAATTGGAAGCACCTGCTGCCTACAGAATAGCATTGAAGACATGGGCTAACTGGGTCGACACAAATGTGAATCCGAACAAGACCCGTGTTTTTTTCACTACTATGTCCCCTACACACATGAGGTATATCTCTCCCATACACAACTTGTTATGACTAAACACGAGATAAAAATTATTTAGAGCATGTTTTTACTAATGACTTGAGTAACAAGTTAAATCTCTAATTCTGCAGAAGTGCAGACTGGGAAAATCCAGATGGGATGCGATGCTTCAACGAAACAAAGCCATACATGAAAAAGGGATTCTGGGGAACTGGTTCGGACAAGAAGATCATGCGCGTGGTGTCCGAAGTAATAAACAAAATGAAATGTCCGGTTTCAGTACTCAATGTAACGCAGATGTCAAATTACAGAGTTGATGCTCACACAAAAGTGTACACCGAAACCGGAGGCAATGTACTAACTGATGAGCAAAAGGCTGATGTGCTGCACAATTCAGATTGCATACATTGGTGCCTTCCTGGAGTTCCAGACACATGGAATGAAATTTTTGTGGCACATTTGTAGCGATAAGAATCGAAAGTAACAAGTTTCTTATTTCTGTTCAAGTTTCTTGTTTCATTTTATTTTTTTTTCAATTGAATTGGATTGAATTAGTACAGCAAAAGCTTCTGAAGCAACTTGCATGTTCTTAGTTTTTGTTTTGGCAAATTCCAATCAACCAAGAAACTAGATCATGGTAATTATCCCGGCTGATTTACCATGGTTAATTGCCCTGCAAATCATGTTTCACAACATTACACAGTGAAAATTGGTAAAATATACAAAACAGCCATCCAGATACACCATCAAACATGTGAGATGCAAGAAAAATTATTGATCCTAATACAATCACCTTCGCTTCTCGCATACTCGTCACGTGACCAGTGTTGTGAAACGACGGGTTGTATACAACTGTTACATGTTGACTATTTGCATTCAAACTGGTATTTGTGTCTGACTCATCTTGTCCAGAAAGTTGATGCCTATTCTCTACTTTATTTTTTTTAACACCACGTAACATTGAATAATACTAAAAATGAATAGTTGAAATTGAAAATAAAAGATCTAACAATTTTGAAAATCAAATTAATAGCTAAAACACTCGTATTTAGCATTGGAGTCGCACTATAAAAATTATTTGACAGAAAGGGTTCCGTGACTGTTGACTTGCCATGCCGACAAAAGTTTGTGGGGCTGTTTTCAGCTTTAGTATTTTGTGGCTTCTTCAACACGCTATTGGAGGAGTGCGTATTACACTTCATCAGGCTTTGTTAATTTGTCTCACCAAGGTTATTGGGAGACAGAGATGGCCTCTGCATATTTGAGTGTTCTTGTTGTTTTGGTTTGCTTTCTTAATCTATTCTTTTAAAATGATCGAAATCGATTTTGATCAAAATGTTTTTGAAGTCAACTTTTAGTAAAAATTTAAGTGAATTTTGAAGAAACAAAAACATTCTAGGTGTTTCCTTCAAGAAGCACGTGTGCTTCTTATAAAAATATAAAATATAAAATATAAAAAAACACACACACACACACACTTCAAGTTTTTTTGGAATCCAAAATCAATTTTATCAAAAGTGTTTTTGGTTATTTTATAAATACATCTAAACGAGCCCTTGCATATTTATTATTTGTTATACACACGATCTTTCACGTATTGGTTGACGCTTCCAAACAACTCACGTACAAGTACAATTTCTTAAGTTTTTGTTATGTGAAGTAAAATGACCACCATGTTAGGCATCGAGTGTACGAGATGAGTTTTATTACACACAATAGTGTGCAGTGTACTTGTATTACGACCATTGCGATACTCTAGTATAACATACATGTTTTTTTTTTTTCGGCACACAAAACGCTTGTTTTGTCACTAAATTTGTCATAAAAATGAATTTAAGTTCAACCGAATTTAAACTCAAAAAATTGCTTGATTAATACAACTATGACATGTTTACTTATTTCTAAATGAGTGAGAAGGAAATGAATTAAGGATGGTCGGATTAAAATTTACAATCTTCCTTTTCAATCCATTACGGGTGCGTTTGTTGCACCGGACTGTCTCGGATTGGACTAGCTTCAGGGACTAAGCTGGACTGGCTTAGACTAGACTAAGCTGGACTAACTTAGTGAAGCATTTGGTGCAGTGTCGGACTAAAAAACAGATACTTAACAAACTACAATATTGTATTATTTAATACATATTTAATCATATTTTATTATTATTTCAACTTTTTTCCTTGTTTTTCCAAAAAAATCCTGATCTGGAAACTTCTCTTTCTCCTCTTTGGTTCCGTCTGGTCCTTATCTCCCTCTTTCTGCTTTTCCCTCTTTCCATTTCTCTTCGTCCCTATAACAACTTTCTCTCCCCTTTTCAATCCATTTCTCTACTCCTTCCCCAACTAATGGCAAATGATATGGATCTGGGTGGATTTTGGTGGTTCTTTTCGCCATCTGCAACTCTACACTAAAAAAAATAGACAAGATTTTGAGATTTCGGCAGTGGGTGTGGACGGCGGGTTGTGTCAAATTTTGATATTTAAGCGGTGGGTGTGGCCGCATCGGCTGTGAACTGCTATTGTTCCTCCAAATTGGGCCACAGGAAAGCAAGCGTTGCCGACTGCCTAGCCACAATGGCGGGGCTGCAAAAGAAAGAAGTTAGAAGTCCAGGGACTGGATGTTGGTGCCGACATCGATCCGAGTCTGAGTTGTCAGTGCAAAGAGATAGAGGAAGGGAGAGAGAGGATGCGAAGTGCAGGAACATACGAGAGAAGACGAAGATCTTAGCAATCCCGTGGTTTTGTGGGGGTCTCGCTAAGAACTCCTAGCGAGGCCTCTAATCTACGCGAGTCCCCTTTAATCTCATTTAACTTAGTCCCAATACAAACCAAACATGGGACTACGGTCTAGTCTAGTCCAGTCCCAGTTAACGAGGCCAAACAAACGCCCCATACGTGTCTAGTCAACTCAAAGTACGATTCATCCCTAAAAGATCCGAATGAGTTTAGCCCAGTGGGCCTAAGGTCCGTATAATAGAAGATTGTTGGTTACCCCAATCATTCTTCTCTCTGGGAGATTCGAGAAGCTACGCGAACGTCTGATCGCCAACGCTGTTCAGGTAATATTTCCCAAAAAATTAGGGTTTTCTCAGTCTCCAATCGCATTAGGGCTTCTAAACCCAATCCCAATCCCAATCCCAATCCGTTCTAGTTTCTCAGTTTGACCTAGAAATTAAACCTGAGGTTTGCGCTCTAGGGTTTTGGTCGAATCTTTCGCGCCTCTTTTTCTCTGAATCGGGTGCGAATTTGCTCTCTATTTGATCAGGTGACGTAAGCATACAGCCATGGCGGGCGGTGGGAACTTCATGAACAGAGTCGTGTCGTACCTCGTCAATGAGCTTCTGGTCGATAGCCTCGCCAACAGGTGATTTCTCGATCTCTTTGATCCTATATGATTAGCTTGATTGTTGGATTGTTCATTTGTTGAAAGCTTCATTCTCTGGCCACACGGACATCTCCGTTCCCGATTGGCTCGTTCCCTTGAAGCAAAATTGGCTCAAAGCTTCGATTTTTATTTTTTTATTTTTATCAGCTGTGGCGCCAACATTTTATGGTGCTACGGCTTTGGATGCTTTGAGGAAATTTTCGCCGCGAAAGAACGGTTCTTTTTGTTATATTTCAATTTTCTCTGATATGTTGTGCGTTGTGGGGTGGGAATCTTTTGTTTTTGGGGTGGGAACTTTTGTTCTTTGTTGTCGGTTTTATTTTCGCATGCTGGTGACTATTGAGGTAGTGGGTGAAGCTTCTCAATAAGCCGTCGGAACTGATAGATTTCTGATTGGTATGCTCCCAGAAGCGAAATAAGCTCACAAAGCGTTCGATTTATTTCACCTGCAGTTTAACATTTAGTTCACTGCAGCTTTGCAGGGTTGAGAATGTTTTGCCATATTTCTTGGTGTTGTTGTAGGGAAGGATTCTATTGTTTTAATGTTCTCGTGTTGGTGTTTTAGTTTATGGTTTGATGCATTCTGCACATTGATGTAGAGATGCTATTTACGCCTGGTGATGCATATTGGTTTATATTGATTGGACCCTGAAGATTTTTTCCTAATGATTTCGTAAGTTGTGAATAAAGCCTTTTTCTGGCCTTCGAGATGATATGCTGACTGAATAAATTTGCTCCTTTGTTGCGAAATTGTCTTGATCTTCCGATGCCAAATTCCAATGACTGTAGTTTTGTCTGATGAATTCTATTCATGTTATGCATGTACGTATGTCCCTTTGTAAGAGAAATGTTCATACATAGACCATAGTTAATTGGCTCAACCATGAATGTATTCCTGTTTCGCCCACGTTTAGAGATGACTGTAACCAAAGAGCTGAGATATTTTTCTATGTTCTTGAAAATTATGTTCTGCATTATTTGGATGAGTAGAATCGGGTCCTAGGCTATGTGTTTTTTTATATCTCTCTCTCGATGTTCTAGTTTTCTCCACTTCTATTGCCCTCTATGGTGGACCGGTTATTTGGTCCTTAATTCATGACGTAACTTTTTTACACAAGAGCTTCTTCGCATTTACATTACTAGGAGCGATGACTCTGTCATTGGGATCAATGCTAACTTCCATGTCCTTAAATACAAAAATTTTTTGCATGTTGTTTACAATAGTCGCAGACTGTTGTTTTTACCTATGACCATTATTAATACCTATCATAAAAGTTTTCTGGTTTTTCAGCCGTGCATTCCAAAGGTTTGCTGTGAAAACATCGAAGAGGATTGAAGATATTCAAAATATTGGTACCGTTAACTTTGTACTTAAACGATTTTGTTTGGCGTACTGCCCCTTTGAGTATATCATGCTGAGGGTGTTATAAATTGGTTTTGGTTATGCAGCTGCAAAGAAGAAGGAACAACTTGCTGAGCAGATGAAGGATTTCTCGAAGAACATGGAAGATGTGAGTTTCCTTTCCTTGAAATAATTGTTCACTCCGAATCTTTGAAAACATATGTTAGTTAGCGTCTGATGGCATCTGCTTTTGTTTTCCTGGCTGCAGTCTTTCAAAGATGGTCGATGAAGGGTGATACCTGAGCGGTCGTTGGCCTGGTTTTGCAAACATGTGTGTACATATGGAATCATATTCCTTTCTTTCTCCATTGCCTTTAAGAGTGGAACCAAATTTTGAGTTTTTAAGATTTGCTTTTGAATGCTTTATCGGCGATGAAATCATGTCTCGTTTCAAGTTCTTTGTCGTCGATGTTTGAGACTTTGAAGCCTGTTTTGAGATTGGAGAGAGACGGAAATGTAAATCCTAACATCTTATATTTTACAACACATGAAGAAAATGGGATTAAAAGGCACAAAAGCTTGGTGTTTCTTCCGCTTATAATTAGAATATAAAGGGTCGTGGGTCACGGCTTTAAATCCTGAACAAATGTGAACTCCATCAAATCTTACTAATTGCTTTTGATGGGATGACAAACGCTTTCTGCCAACTACATGTTGAATATAAGTCCCAGTGCATTGAGAAAACAAAATACAGTATATGAGAATGGTTTTACTTCCAGTAACACCGACCCATTTTGCGATAAATCTCTACACCTAGCAATAGGTGAGGCATTTTGTGATAAAAATCTGTACCTGGCAATAGTTGGAATAGTATTAGTGTGGTTAGAAATGAGGTAGTTTCCTGTCTCTCTAAATATTGGAGCATGTGCCAGGTGCTTTAGAAAGGCTTTCTAAGATCTTTTACAGTAGTTTGAGTGAGTGTGATAGTTATGTATAAGAATCAGGTAGCCTAAGTTTAATATATATAAACTATTGTTACATAAGTGTTAGTTCAATTTATTGGTGTCACATTTACTTTTTTCGATCTAATGTTGAATGCCTAAGGGCCTACGTGGAAATGCATTTTAAAACAGTTAAGGTGCATTCACATGGAATTGGATCCCATCATGATCCACTTTGAAAGGATTCTAGAGATCTTCATATACTAGTCGTTCATCGTATATCATGCAATCAGAAATCATTTGATTTTTTTAATTTAAAATTAAACACAAATAGTATCTAACAAAAATTGACAGCACGATATAGGATGAACGACTAGGATGTGAGAATTCCTATAATCCTGATCTAAAAAGGATCTAAGTTCCATTCAGATTAGTAAAGGTACTTTCGACCATATTTGGCAAAAAGTGTTCACAGTGCTACTCGGTTGAAAAAAACAGTCATGTGTTTATTTTAATGAGCATTTTAAGTACATTTTAGGGCCTTTTTGCTAAAACTTTCAACGTGCTTCTATTAGGAGTGTTACCGAAAGAACCTTTGAGCATGAGTGTTTTTTTAAGAGTCGAACTTTCAGACGGACCATGTGAATGTGTGACGAAAACCTTAAAAAGCACAATTACTTCAGCACGTTCTAGTAAGCACTTTTAACATCCCAAACGGGTACTAACTCCTCTACCAAAAACATAAAGCCCATCAAAATATTTTGGTTTTGGGCCAGTGTCACTGTTACAGATATAAACCTCCAAACGCCATTGCAAATCTGATACGAAAACCGAGAAGGGGTTTTAGCTTTCTTCGCCAGAAAACCGAAAGGGTTTAGCTTTCTCTCCACTCCACCATCCATGGCGTCCATCATTTCCAGGACCGTTAACCATCTCCGCCACGTCAACCGCTCAGTGATCCGATCCGGATTGCCGAACCCACCGCCACCGCTCGCCGACTCTCTCCAAAATCGGCATCTTCCACTCCTCGGACAGGTTCGCCTCCTTCAACTCTTTTCTGCTAATACCCAGTCTGCCTCTATAGAAAAATCAAGTAAATATTCAAGCTTTCGCATTCTTTGTTCTCCTTTTGTTTCTCTGCATCCAAACACCTCGAGCTTATTTCATTTTCTGTTTGGGTATCTGCTTGGGTTGCAGTCGTTGGCGATTTATCAAAGATGTCTTTTTTCAACGACACCCAATACTACGGCGGAAAATCAAGGAAACCCTGAACCAAAAACCTCGGAAAATGCAAATTCTGGTCATTCTGGTAATTCTGGTGATTCTGGTGAAGGGAACAAGTCTGGGGAATCACATGAGAGTAGTAATGCGGGAAAATCTATTCGCGGAGGGGTAATCTATACGATGCCGTATAACGATTTTTCTTAGATGTTTGTAGGTGGAAACGTGATTGTAATTTCGTTTGATTTTGTGGGCGATTTTGCAGCCCGTTTCGTGGTTGAGTTTTCTGCTGCTGGTGGCGACTGGAGCCGGAATTATACTCTATTACGACAAGGAAAAGAGACAACATATTGAAGGTAGACTACTATGGTGAGTTGGATTGTATGTGAGTTTTGCATGTTGGACTTGAATTCGTGGGTCTGCAACTTTGTTAAATCTTGCCCGTGTTGTATTTGATGCATAACGGATACCCATCATCAAGTTGCAGGTTTATAAGGTGCTTCATGTTGATTTAAGTCAGTGATAAGTACTCATACTGCTATTAGGCACACAATACATGATTAAGCACGTCCATGTCACCTGTTGCCTTTTTGATTGAGTATATCTCGTTGTATTATTCTTCATTTCGAATATTTATGTCCAGTTTGTATTCAAAGTAGAGTAAAATGTCATTATTATGTATCAATTCATTGCTTCTCGCTTCTTCTCGTAGGCTCGATATCTGATTTTTCTCATTTTTACTTCCCTGTAATATAAGTTTTGTTGCTATTAATTGACTATATTTTTGCTGCAGAAATATTTAAGGCGTCCAAGGAAGTAAAGCAAGGACCATCTGTGGGAAAAGCTGCCATTGGGGGTCCATTCAATCTTATCAACCATGATGGGAAGCGAGTGACTGAAAAAGATTTTTTGGGGAATTGGACATTGATGTACTTTGGTTTCACTCACTGCCCTGATATCTGCCCAGATGAGCTAGTAAAGCTAGCTGCTGCGGTTGATAAATTAGGTAAGTCTTACGTTTTTACGAGGGTCAAACTTTTTTTTCTCTTGCCTCGCAGATAGTGCAGATCATAGAATTTCAATAGGCATGACCTTTAGCTTTGATTCTCTGTATCTCAAGCATGTGATGCCTGAGATTTTTTATGGTCTGTTGCGTGTGTGCAGAGAAAGATGCAGGGATTGAGATAGTGCCCCTTTTCATATCTGTTGATCCTGAAAGGGATACCGTTGAGCAAGTCTGTGAATATGTGAAAGGTACTTCTCAAGATTTTAGAGTGCACCATAGATATACTAAGAATGACCATTCATCGCATAGTGTAAGTTCTTCTTATCTGATATGTTTTCTCAACTGTCTCAGAGTTTCATCCAAAGCTGATTGGGTTAACTGGTAACCCTGATGAGATACGGAGTGTTGCTCGTGCATATCGTGTGTACTATATGAAAACAACAGAAGAAGACTCAGATTATCTTGTGGACCATTCCATAGTCATGTATGTATTCAATCATTATGTTCTACTTTCTTGAGTGGAAGTCGAAAAATAGTTGTTTGTGTCATTCCAATATTGAAATCAATGATTATTTTGTGCAGGTACTTGATGAGCCCCGAGATGGAATTTGTGAAATTTTTCGGAAAGAACAACAATGTTGATTCACTTGCTGAAGGTATAACGAAAGAGATAAAGCAGTACAAAAAATAGCAAACTAGTTTTCCCTTCACTCCAAGTGAATAATTTTCTATGGTTACTTTTCAAATTTACGTTATGAGGCGATAGATCGATCCTCGTTTTCCTTTTTTCCGTAGTTGCCATTATCTAGGTTGAGAGAAAGAAAGCGACAATTTTCAGTAAAGTTGTCTGAATTTCAAATTTTACTAATGTTATATTTGCATTGTTTACAACTATTACTATTCTCTGAACAGAAAGAGGAGGGTCTTTGCCCATCCAGTCCTGCCGGCGGAATGAGGATCCTCTCTGATACTCAAATCGGGTCCGTTTTATCGTACATTGTGCGGTCAAAAATCATTTTAAATACTTTAATTTAAAATTAAACATGAACAAGACCTGACTAAAACTGACCACACGATGTACAATGAACAGACACAATTTGAGGATTCCCATGATCCTTACAGAGAGGACCCTCATCCCTGCCGGTGGTAGTATTCTGCCAAGTGGCAACATTTTATTTGTACACTTGTATTGCTTTTATTGGCCAGTTCCTAACTAATGAAATGTTAGTTTAGTTGGTTAAGCTGTTCGTTGAGCACCAAATTGGTTTGAGTATTCAGTTTTATGAAACATGTTCTCGCTGCAATTGGGTTATGGTTGGGTTAGGGTTCTATTAGCTGTTCCCCCTGCGGCTATAGAATCAACGAATTCGACTCCACTGTTCATGAAACCACCTCTGGTCCTTTTTCGTCTTTGATTTCTCAACCATGAAGCCATTCTGACTTGATTGTTCATGGTGTTGATCGCTGCATGTATGCGGCTTGAGTTGTACTGTTAGGTTGCAAGAGCACAAGGCAAACATTACCAACCATTTCATGCGGTACAGTGAAAAAACGAGCGAAAACTCGAAACAAAGCGAGTTTCATTCCTCTTGCTATAGATAGGTCCTTATAATTATATGGTGACATCTTACATAGTTTTACATAAAACTAACTGCGACAGTAGGGTATTAAGGTTACATTGAGGCTAATTATTAACTAACCCTAATTAACTTGGGTACAAAAACCACTTCTTATTTGACTTAAAGGCCATATAGTGGCGTTTACTCACTGGTTGCATTTTTGATCCGAGCATATACAGGTCCACCTCATTTTTGGAACCAAAGTTTTCCTTGTGTTTGCACATGGCTTCTCCGGTGCCCGTAATCTGAGTTTCCATGATTATCGTAATTTCACAGAGGTACAGGGCATAAGTGCAACTTCCTCACCTGAAAAAAACGTTTCAGTAAGATTTTCTACCAAACTACCTATTATTCGAACAAGAATTGCTATACAGTCCTACCTCCTGTATCAGATTACTCTTCAAGATGGGCTTGAAGTTGCATATGCCTTTGGGATTCACCTGTCAACTTCGTTTGGGATATTGACCTTGCTGAGATAAACCTGTTGCATCTCTTCTCTCCAGATCTGTTAAGCACAGTGATTGGTAAATTTCTTAGTTCCCTCAGTATTTTCCAATGTGTGTGTGTGTGTGTGTGTGTGTGGTGTGTGTGTGTGTGTGTGTGTGTGAGAGAGAGAGAGAGAGAGAGAGAGAGAGAGAGAGAGAGAGAGATGAAGCATAGAACAAGCTAGGACTGGAAGAAATCTCAGAGAAAGTTCCACACCGTGTCACGAAATTGCACCCGGATATGAGGCACATTTGTTTTGTGGATATCATTTCCACCTGGTCCTCTCTTGTAGTACTCTCTACCA